CCCCGTGTCCATGGCCCAGCAAGCCTTCCATCCCTCCGGGGTCGGTAAATTGGTACCAGACTTGTCTGGGAGGGTAGCAGCACTGGTTCAATACATCAGTAGGCCACCGCGACTCATTGAAAGGCCAGATATGCATTTAATCACCTCCAAACGATGCTTAACGAAGTCGAATGCATAGTGTATCCCTCAGGAATTGATCAAAGCCGAAAGCTTTATCCTTTATTATTACATATTTTCTCATTAACATTGTTGTTGTTCAGCTGCCACTTCTATTGCCAACAGCTTCTATAATTATCAACTAAGTCGGAACATCACATTTTGAACTTCCATTCATTGTTATTGCTCTTTTTTAATTGTATTTGGCGAAATGAAAGTCACAAGCGTCTCATTAGGAATCCAGCAGTGTAACTGTACTTTTGCTTGTGCTGCCGGATGGAAGTGCCGAGTTCCTCGTCGGCTTAAATGACTCTATTGGAGGATGAAATCTTGCTGTACATGGCACTTCAGGATCTAGAAGGAACGCAAAGGAAAAGTAAGGACGTAACCGTTAGTATCTTATTAGTAGCAGTAATATTATTATCAAAATCATTAATATAGGATTCTTATGCGCCCTTATGTTTTTGTCAGTTATGACGCTTTCCGATGTTTCTATTGCAGAAAAGAAAAAAGGTTCCCGTAAAGCTAAACGATAAAGGGTGAGGCAGTCGTTCGGCTTTTTCGTTACTTTTCGTTCTTACAACGTCACCTTTTTTCCTTTAGAGGATTTCGTTAGTAACTCGTCTCACTTAAAAGGACCAGAATGAAGCGGCTCCTGATAAAATGAGACCTTAGACGTAAAAATAATCGAACAATCTCTGAAATACATTCATGTTATTAAGAAAAAATGAAAGGTAACAACCACAATGACCCTGACAATGATATTTGCTAACCTCCGGTCCGGAGGTGTTTGCGGTAGGAGACGAACGCGCTATTACGCTTTCCGGGGAATAACGCGTTCACCACCACCCCATAAGCGTCCTTCATGTCTCTCAGCTAGTTCTATCGATCAGCCCCATCAGCAATCACCAGTTAACGATATTGATCTGAGGAGCCAAAACTAACGATGAATCCAGTTAAAGTCAGCTACTAAGACTCTTGGCACATTGCCATCTAAGCATATTACAAGAAACTTTCTTGCTTTCCTTTCCACTTTTTAGAACATCCTCGTGCAGTTCACACACAGAGGTAATCGCCGCAGTGACAATGACAAAGAAAAACTCCTCTCATTCAGTGCATAACACGTGCTCTCTTATCTTTTAAAAACCGACTATCCTTTAGCCTCGGTATGATTAATCAGCGTATTTTTAAATTGCTGAGCTTACATGAAGTTTTATCTAACCTTTATTCGGCTAACGTTTTGACATCTTCGTCTTCGCCACAAGCCGATGATCCAAGTCGATGGTCCACAGTTGTTCATCTTCTCCATATGGCGTCTTCTTCTTCGTATCGAGTCGAATCTTCTCAGTGGAGCATCTCTCAAACGAAGAATACTCACTTGGCGATGCTCTGATTCTGCGCTTTAATTGATGAAAACAAGTGTTGAGCATAGGCTAAAAAAGAAATACTTCTTGGAAGTATCTTAAGAACAACATAATTTTGCGTAGCTGAATGCGAATGTCATTTACTTTGTTCCAGGAATAATACTGCTTTGATTATAAAACATGAAAAACAACATCCAAATAACTGATTATTTGCCTAGCAAGCATTTAACGGTTTCCTCCCACCTTGTCGTAATGGTGAAAAGAGACTACATTTCCCTAATTCATCAGTATTTTCCAATTTTTGGTGCGTCTCCCAGTAAAGCATTGCTGTATTCAACTGTTTCTTACTTTATCTGTAATATTTTAAGAAAGTTGGGCGATTTCCGCTCCTCCCGGTCGTCACCTCCGTTACTTTTTTGAGTGCTAGGGAATGAGTGGGAAAGGGGGGGGGGGGGGGGGGGGGGGGGNGGGGGGGGGGGGGGGGGGGGGGGGGGGGGGGTGTGACGTTAGTTTCCATCGTGAGACATTCTCTCCGATTCACCTTCTGCCGTGTCGTTATCAGTCCGGTGCCGTTCCTCGTGCCGTCCATCTGTTCGTCCATTCGTCTATCCGTTACAGCACCATCTCCATTCGGTGACCGTCCGTGACCGCTAGATTATTCGATCGTTCATCTCCGCTCCGCGTTGGGGACGCTGTGCGCGTTCCATCAATGCGTCATTTTCCGTCGGCGTCTGCTGTACGCCTCTCTTCGTTGTTCCGCCTAACCTCTTCGTCATGCGTGTTGGTCCACACCTGGTACGTCGATGTTCGTTTACTGTGGTGGCCTCCGTTGCCGCCGCCGCAGCAGTAGAGTCGCCAATGAGTAAACATTCCCAGTTTGTTTATGACACAATTGAAAAATTGAAAAACGTTTTCCTTCTATTTGTACGTTGAAAGTTTACATTTTCACAAGACTTTTTTAGTAAATACTAAACTTCATCCTTTAATGTAATGTAATCATATCAATATCTTTCATAGACAAGTAGCACTCTGCTGATTCATCGCAGTTGGTTCGATTTTACTCTTTAAACAAGCAAAGCCCCTCATCCTTATGGTATCGGAAAATTAGGATCGAAATTCTCGTCATCCTGGGTGGCCAACACTGGTAGTCCCACTAATAATAGCACGGCTCTGAAGGAAAGCGAAATCCCGGAAAAAAATCGCCATCATCCATCAGACAACAACAACAACAGCAATAACAATGACAACGACAATAACTACAACAACGACAACTTTTACCAACCTCGCATCAGCTCAACAAGATCAGTTCATAAGAATATATAAATAAATATGCCGATTATTTATTCCGAGGTCTATAGAAAGTTGGTATTTTGAGTATCACAAATGTTTGGGAGAAACAAACACCAATTTAGTACAGCACTAAGCCCAAAAGTGATTGCACAAGCTAAACGTGCATTCGATCCTTGCTATTTGTAAATAAATGATTGTAGCCACAACGATGCTAAGATATTCGCAAAACTTGGACCCCGGACCGGATCGAACCACGACTTACCTTACCAGGAGCAGCTCATTACACACTGCGCCATGGAGCTCTTTGGTCTGAGCCAGCTTAACTGGGTTCAATGCCAATTTGTGCCCCCCAGATCAATCCCGCTGACGAATTGATGATGGCAGCATTAGGTAGAAAGCTAGCTGAGTGAAACACAGCAAGGGCTTCTATGGCGAGTGTGTAATGCGCGAGCCTCCGGAAAAGGAAATCGCGGTTCGATCTGGCCCCGGGGTTAAATTTTTCCGAATATCTCAGAATCATTGTTGTTGTAATTCACATCATACCCTATATATTAAGTTGACTGACTTTTACTATTACTGCGTATATTTGGGCGTGTATTAAGACGGAAATAACACGCAAAAGTGCAGAAATACTCTCTTGTGTTGTCCATTCCGTTCCACTCTTTATTCCATTTTACTTCTAAACTTCATTGAATTGTGGAAAAAAGTTCATTTAGTACTCATCCTTTAAATGAACAGAAAAATCAATTAGTATCAAATGATGGCCTGTACGGTTTAAGTCGCCTATCATGGTAATACAACAAATGACAGTGAATTATGGGGTAACAGCCGTAGTAAGAAGCCTTCTGTCTCAGTTCAAGCGAAAAATTCGGCACCTCTAAACACAACGGCTTTCTGAAAATCAATAAATCAACGGAATAAGATAGGAAGAGTGCGTAGAACTTCATGGATTGATATGAACAAAGCCAAATAACTACCTTTAAGATGTTCTTGGATGTTTAAGCTAAGATGAGGTTGATAAAGAAATTTATTTAGTTAGAGTTCCGACGTCTTTGTCTTCATCAGTGCTGTGATGATCCGAGTCGATGGTCTTCATTTGTTCGTCTTCTCGACTTCTCTTCTATTGGTCTTCGCACCGAGTCAGATCTTCTTCAGTGGGCACCGCTCGAATGAGGCAGGCTCACTCGGCAGCATTCTTCTAAAATAAATTGTTTTTCAACGGATGGTTCATCCTGTAGCAGGCGATAACAATCCAAAAAGGTTTTGATTATTGCCACTGAGCTTAGACGACGGTTATCCGCTGAGAAACAAATTATGGTCAACCGATAGTCGTACCAACCACAACCATTCTATATAGAAAGCGTTGCCGGGTGAGCTTGCCACATTCGAGCGTTGCCCACTGAGGAAAATCCAACTGAGTGAGAAGATGCCACAACGAGAACACGAACAAATGTGGACCATCAACTCCGATCATCGGCTTGTGATGAAAACGAATTCGTCGAAATGTTAGGCGAATAAATCTTTTTAAAGAGTTTCTAAAAATGACAAATAATATCGATATTGATATTTGCATTGTTGCATAGTATACCAAAAAAGAGGTAGCTCAGTAGCACTGAAACCGTTCAATAGGCAAGAGGTCTTAGCTCGACCCCGCATTGGGTTGTCTAACCCCACTATACCTCTGGGTTTCGAAAAATCGGCACCAAACTCGTCTGGGATGACCTACAAAACGTGCAGTGTGCTTAGTGGAGACCTCAGAACATACTAGGATGGCCATGCTACCTCAGTATTGCAGAGAAGTCTCGACCAGTACTCAACGACATTCATAGAAAAGAGCAGAAATCCACAAGCAGGAACGGAACCCATACGCAAACCCGAAGACCACGGTTTACGGATGCGAGGAGGCAAATCGGATGGAAGAATTGCTGGGGTCAGAACAATATATGATCTCGGCTCGTATAAAGTGGAAAACATAAAGTAAAAGATACTAGTTACACAGACGAAGTTGGCTAAAGGCGCATAGAAACGCATCATTTCTCACAAATACGAGGTTCAGAGATCTTACAATAAGAAATTCTCCAAAGCATGATTGGACAAGCAACTAAACAAGCAGCTACAACTAAGGGGACCTCATGGTTTCTATGAATATTGAAGCATTTTTAACCCTGGAGGCTCCTAGAGAAAGCGGCTTCAAAATCGATCGGATACCAGTTTAAAAAGCCGAAAGTGGAAAAATGAATAGAAAACAAAACGTTGTAAACTACTCGAATTCAGTTTAATCATCTCACCGTCGGTTGCGTGGCCAAGTCGGCATAATCGCTCTGTTGTGGAACAACAACGAGTAACGTAGCAGACCAAGGAAGAAACAGGAATTAAAACTCCTGAAAAAGGATCCAAAACTCAATCAACATCGATAATATTTGGACTTTAAGCTTTCTCTCTTTGAATCTTATTAAAAATCAGCAGTGTTAAATTCGATCACGGTGCAACTGGAAGTTGACGTCCTCCAGAGCAACCAGTTTAAAAAAAGGATAAAGCTCTCGGCGTTGATCAAGATCCCTAAGGGATGCGTCATGCACTCGACTTCATTAAGCATCTTTTGGAGGTGATTGAATGCTCATCTGACCTTTACAATGACTCGTGGTAGCCTACCAATGTATCGAACTAGTGCTGCTGTTCTCCCAGACAAGTCTGGTATCAATTTGCCGACCGCGGAGTGATGGAAGGCTTGGTGGGCCGTAGGCGCAGGGAGTGATTCCACGTCTGTGTTACACGGCGCTTCCGACCACTTAGCAATCAGTTTAACAGTAATCAATATCTCATTGTGATTTGAATTCTCCTCTTCACTACTATTGACACTAATGTTGATTTACACCATTATTGATTATTTGTATAGTATGAGATATATAAGTTCGTGCTGAATCTTAAAACAGACTTACAATAAGCCTCAGCAAAAACAGTCAGTAGCTCCATCGATTACTGTGCTAACGCGAAGTTGATTTTTAAAAAGAACTATTAAAATGCACTATGGTCTGTCATATACGTACCTGTACAGATCGCCAGAAATATGCAGACAAGAAACACTATGAAGTTTAACTGACAGACAATCAGAGGTGGTGTGCCAGCACAGTACGAAACCAACGGTCCGCATTGGTCAAAGCAATCAGACTGGAAGTAGTTATGACGAATGGGTTACGAATGAAAGATATTCGTTTGTTTCGTTCTCTGCTTACATACTTATTAGTCAATTATTCACCTCCAGCCCAAACCCAATCGTTTGTCGCCTAATCACAGCTGGTGGGTGTTCAATGAGGTCGAACAGCGATATTCAATAAAGATTTATTATCATGAGGTCCTTCTAGATGATACGCTCGATACATCTCTCTATAAGCAAAGCGAAGACTAAACCAATGGTAGAAATTGTTGCCGTCTTTACAGCAAATTAGTTGCAAGGAACGAAATCCCCCCATGATCTACCAGGGCCGGCGACTACTCGTAGTAACGACCCTTGAAAGCTCCAAAAATCCAACCATCGATACTTCAAAAAACCATAAATAGCTCAACCATAAAAGACCTTCAATACCTCACACACTAAGCATTTCGGCCTACAAGACAATCAGAGACAACCAAATAATGAGTTGCATAGGACTCATTAGAACCAGACCAAACCAAAGTACACCGCAAGCCATGGAGAGTGTTTCTTGTTCTGGACCCATGAAATAAGAACGATCTCTTTAGTCGTCGATCTTTGGACTCCACTTGGGGCAGGTGGTAGAATTAAATTCCAGGTGATCACTCTACAAGAGTGAAAAAGTAGGAAGACCGACACACGCCAACTTGTTGACGAGACCCTGGTCATTCGAGAAGGAAGCATTCTGTGACCACAACTGTTTGCGGTGTAAGCTTTGTAGTGCACTTATCACGTTATTTTATAAGAGATCAAATCATTTCGCTTGGTCATCTTTCGTCTCCTCTGCATTTGCATCAAAAGAACAGCACTGTTATCAACTGCTACTCAACAGCCTATGCATCATATGGGAGGTGATTAAATGGGTAACGTGACCAGTTGGTGAAGGTAACCCGCTGCGAAGAGTCCTTCTAGAGATTCGTTGTTGGAGACGTTAGTTCCAGATCAAGAAAGGTCAGCGAAAATAAATACAGAACTAATAGAATTTACAAGAGAGCGAAATGAAAGTGGAGATTGCTTAGTTAGGTCCCAGTTCAAAGCACCCCTCTTCACTTGACACTCTTATTTCGAGAAATAAAAGGAACTTGCTACTTGTCGTGGGAATCTTTTAACGGTGCGGCTCATACATGAATCAACGATCCACGAAGATTGTACTATTATGCGTACCAACAGTTTGAATGAGGGTTCAATTGAGCGAGCAGAGTGTCAACAAAAATTTTCCCGCACGGAGCGTCCAGGATCATAAAAGATCATTGAAAATAGCGCTTGCTCGATGTCCTATACGTTGTCGATAATGGAAAAACGTTGGAAAACATAGAAACTAATGTGATGCTATCAGGACTCGTTCACGAAGAAGTGGATTCATCCCACATAAGAAATATTTGAATGATACTGTTGCTGCAGCGCGAAATTGCAGTTTTTCCATCAACGCTCTACCATTCCCACAGGAAAATGGCGTAGACAAGGCAGCGCTGTCTCGCCAAATTTGCTTACTGCCGAACTGCAAGGGATAACGAGGTCACTCGACTAGGATGAGAAAGCCATACGCATTGATCAAAAACTCCTATTAAATCTTCCTTTTCCCGAGAAAAAGTCACTATTTGCAAAAGCCGTTGTGAATCAAAGCCAATGACCAATGAACTCACTTAAGCGACGTAAAGGATTGGAATACGAATAAAGTGGTAGTAAACCCGGTTCATGAAAAATCAGTGAATTGAAAGTGAACACATCGAGGTGGATGGGCATCTGATTATTGAGACCAACTTACAGTGTGCCTTAGGAGTTCAGTTAAGCTAGAAAACAATATGAAGGAGAAATTAAACAGAAGAACGGGAGCTGCGTTGGCAGCCTTGGGGCTTCTCAAAGAAGGCACCTGCTAGATAACGGGCTCAACTGCGTGGTCACATTTTCGACGTAGCGGTCGTCTAGCACTTCGATATGCAGCAAAGATGTGGATTGACACTTCAACCACGTAGAGAATTCAGTACACTGCACAAAGAGTGCTTGGATGATGTCTGAAAATAACCAAAACACACAGCGTTTATCCGGAACGTGAAGTCCAGATACTTAACGAAACCTAAATTCTCGAGATCCAGAAAAATACACATCGATTACGAAACGTGGATGAGCCGGTCGCATTGTTGCGGCGGTGAGATCCCAACTTTATATGAATACTAAGTCGTTGTAGATATTAGTCCTTGTAGCTGCCAAGCGGGACTTCTCCGTAACTGTCGTGAACAACCTCGAGTTTGGGTTAGAATTGTTTATAGCAATAACAACTGTACAATAATAATATCTGGTATGTAACGATGTGTGGTTAAGTGGGTATATACGAGCGAGATTGAAATGAGAACAAGCGATGCAGTTGAAGGAGGTTAGGTGGACACTGGAGTTGAGCATTGAGGAACTGAGAGATTGGATGAATACCGGACGAACGCTACGAACGCTTGAAGACGAATCGCCTGGGCTGCTTGTATTCCTTCTGTAGTGGGTGGACCTTGCCAGAGGTAACTAAAGGCAGTGCCTAGAGAAAGGTTCTAAAGGTTTTTATACTAGCACAATCTGATAGGGCTACATGTGAAAGGAAACTTCTTTAGGACAGCAGATGCTGGAAAGTACATTCAGCTGACTGCTGCTGATTCAGTGCCCAAACTGCTGGACAAAGTAGAGCAGTTTATTGAAAGAAGTTGTAGAATCCTTTTCCAGCCACCTGCGAGGCAACTGCATGAGAGTGGCTAAGAGGCAATTAAGAGAAGATGCGAAGATAGATTTAAGTTAGCTACAGGTGAACAAGAAACACATACCAATACACAAAACTAGGAGTAAGGTCACCGGAAGCAGTATTTGGAATGTTTTACATAAAGAACATTCCAATGTACGTGAAGAATGTTTTATATACACATAACGACCAGAACAAACGACAGATAAACAAAAAAAATGTTGTGGAGTGGAGTACAAGAGAATGCAATTGTCGCCTGGGACGACCACAGGCACGATGGGACGACGTGTTTGTGGCTCACGCCAACCAGCTGCATTCAAAGCTTGGAGCGATTTATGCATGATAAAATGGAACTCGTCCATTGACCGTGCTCGAGGCAAGACGACCATCACATTCGACGACTGAGCAAAAACGATACAAACGGGAATTTGTTGGTTCCAGTAGCATTTGTGAAGGTGAGTCGCCCACGTACCCAAGTATTAATTGCTTCAGTAATGATGATGTCCTCAATAAGTTCTTCATATCCTAAAAAATAGCGAAATTTTTGTCGCACTGGACAAAGCTGCCATTTCATTCACTCGAACCGACAGTCGATTATTTGCTACGTATCCCGTATCATATTAAAGTAATTGATCCAAGATACTGCAGAACTAGTAGAAAAAAAGTGATAGGAATCCTGATTGTATATCTCTATTTCAGCGTTTAACATTGCGTCACTTTTTTAAGCGAAACGAAAAGATCGTTTTCCTTTAATTACACTTCAGTTCGAGTCTAGTTACATTTGGAGAGGGATAGGGGAATAATATATGCAATCACTAAGTACATATACTCATTGCTGCCTCAAGGTTCACATATCTCATCGTAATTTGCTGCCTTCAGATGCGGTGGATATCTAAAAGGATAAAGAATAAAGCTTTCGGCGTTGATATCAATCCCTGAAGGATGAACCATGAATTCGACTTCATTACGCATCGTTTGGAGGTGGTTGATGCATATCTGGTCTTTACAATGACTTCCGGTGGCCTACCGATGTATCGAGCCAGTGCTGCTATCCTTGCAAGTATGGTATCAATTTTCCGACTCCGGAGGGATGGCAGGATTGGTGGGCCATGGGCGCGGGGATCGATTTCACGTGTGTGTTGCAGGGCGCCTCCGACCAGTGCGCCACACGCGCCCTTGATGAGCATAGTGGTTTCAATAATTCGACTATTTTTGAAATAAATCTCACTAGTTTCCTCAGAGACAAACTCCTAAACGTCCCCGTTACAAAGCATCGTCCCAAAAGTCGCGCATGCTAATGAATCGACGCTGTTGCAGGGAAGTGATTATCGATTATTTCTCTAGTTTTTAGTAAAGTGAATGCTTCAAACAACTTACATATGTCTTATACATAGGAAATACTCCAGACATTTCCCATAATACGATATACCGTTTCCGGTTGCTAACTCAAAAATGCTATTCGTTTTCTTCTTAATGTAAAGGAGAAGAATCTGAACGAAGCCTGCAACATTATGGATGTCAACCCATGAGTCCGTGAGGACGCTTAGCTAAAAGTTTAAAATGATACCAGTGCCTAAATGGATTCTTATAGCCTATAAATATCGAAAAAAGCTATAAATATAGGAAATCCGATGACAATGTCTATATATAAAACTAAAGGATGATTTATTCAGCTTTAAAAAACAACTATGCATAGATTATCGAAAAGCTAGAAAAATGGGAATAATTGGGAAGGATCTTCAAAAAAAAAAACTTAGAGACGGCAAGAAAAGGCCGGAGGAAAGAAAAAGAAGGTTTAGGAAATCGTCTAAAAACGATTGATGAGAACAGAATCTTAACGACAGCTAGTTGCTCACTACGGCATGGTGTCACATATTTAGATTGAAAGGAAAAAAACGTAGTGCCGCACTTTTGACACAGCGGTGAGAATCTAAAGCAAATTTACAGAAATAAATGTTTTAAAAAGTGAAAATGCTGGTCAAATGGTTGGCGATCCACACTTCGAATAAACACAAGGTCTTAAAGGTTTACAAAACGTCTCGGAGAATGTATCGCACTCGCACCACTGGATATCAGTTAGTAAATAAGACACGTGAATGGCAGGGAAAGCGCATTCGTGGGGATGCCACTCAACAATACGGACAGCTGACCGCTTGGTTCCACTTAGAGTGGTCTAACCTTCCCATCGCTCTGACATCGGAAAATTAGTAGCAGATTTATCTTGGAGAAACTCCGATTCTCAAAG